AGGAACTCAGTTGAACTGGCAGCCCAGTGTGTGATCTCCTGTCCCAGCCTGAGGACCAGTGAGCCTGTCTCCCAGTACTGCTCTAGATGTCTATATGTAAATATCGTATGACTGTGTCTGTGTTGTAAATGGCTGTAGATGTTTCATGTTTATTGTATTAGTTTTGCTTTGGCAACACTGATTGTATATGCCAATGAAACTTCTTGAACTGAGCAGGACTGAGAGGAGAGAGAAGTGACTCTGTCTGTTAACAGGTCTGTTTCTACCCCCTGTTTGCGCGCACCTCCCCGTGATTAAGCTCCGGAGCGAGTCAGATCCACTCGGACAGCAGCGCGTCCTCAGAGTCCCACAGCACCCCACGCCCGGACACCCCACGCTCGCGTCGAGTTATCGGCTCGTTCGTCCGGGCCACATCGGCGCGTCAGACAGCGAAATCGATCTTTCATAACTCCGTCTCAGAATCAAAGCGCGCCTTATAATTGATCACCCCGCTGCCAGAGCGGTGCTGACATCGCCCCTGCTCCACGAGCAATCGCGGAGACGTTAAACCTCCCACTCAACTCGGACCTGAGGTCGGCGTGTAGCGTCTACAGAAAGGACCGGCTGTCTCACCTGGATCGATGCTCCCCGCCTTGCCTCTTCCTCGGTGACTTTCTGCTGTGTGCGGACCGCCTTTTTATACACGCGTGGGGTGGGGTGTGATGTGGGATGTGCGTGTGCGTGTGTGTGTGTGTGATGAAGTTCCTCGCGAGGTTACTTCGTGCCAAAGCGGGCGGGCGCTCGGGGCGCGCGCGCGCGCGTGTGTGGGGGTGGGTGTGGATGCGCTCGTGTCCGGGGACAGGCAGGGGTCAGCGCCGAGCTCAGCAGCCCGTGGTGCCCAGGTGCGGCGAGGCGTGGCGCCCTCAGAGGTCCGCGGTCCGAGGTCCGAGGTCCGCCCGCCTCTCGCTCAGCGCTCCTGCTATCGGCGCGCAGCGATAACGCGCTCACCCGCGAGCCCCGCATTCTGATCTTATCGGGCCGCGCCGAGCGCAGACAGGACAGCCCCCCCACCCACCCCCCCCGGGGAGAGCGAGAGGGAACCGGCGTCGAGCAGCCCAGCTCCCAAGACGCCTCTTAGGAATTCATCATTAAATGTAACCATTAACCAAAACTCAAACTCCAGGGAGAACGAGAGGGCGCAGCGTCTGGCACAGAACAGGCAGAGGGGGAGACGTCTGGGGGGACAGGGCACATACCTCGGAGCCTAGCAACAGGAGAGAGGTTACACTCAGACACTCAGACACAGCCCTGCTGCTCGCTGACTGATCCCAGCATCATCCAGCTGTTTCTCCCCAGGAGCCCAAGTATCGGCTTCCACATCCTGCCCGGACGATCCCCCCCAGCTGTGTCTTGAGTGACGCCACGTTACTGCCTTCCACAACACGGCTTGGCAGTCTGTTCCACCCTCCCGCAGCTCTTTGTGTAAAGACATGACTCCAGGAGACAGTCTGTGCCACGGGCGCTGGATACTTGCTGACTGATCTCTGACTTTGCTCTCTTTTCCCACTGTCCTGTGGCTGGCTGTGCTGTGTAGGTACTGTAGGTGTCTTCTGCACTGTTGTCTGCTGTGGTGACTTCTCTCTGATGTGACGAGTGTGAGGATGAGGCAGGCCAGTGGAGCTCAGAATTGAACTGAGAGACGGAGACAGAGCTGAGAGCTGAGATATCAGACAGAAGGATTATCTCACTGGGCTTTACAGCACTTTACTGTGCTTTTACCCTGATCTCACTGGGCTTTACTCCACTGTACTAAGTTGTAACCCTGATCTCACTGGGCTTTACTGCACTGTACTGTGCTTTTACCCTGATCTCACTGGGCTTCACTGCACTGTACTGTGCTTTT